CCGCACGAGATCTTCTTCAAGATCAAGAAGTACCTCCTGGGCGGGGAGCACAAGCCGGACACGACGCTCCAGCCGGGCGCCCACGAGTACCCTTTCCAGTACCAGCTCCCGCCCACGGCGCCCACCTCCTTCAAGAGCTTCGCGGCCTTCACGCGCTACTCGGCCAGGGCCGAGCTGCGCCGGGACAAGGCGAACGCCCAGACCGCCGAGTCCGTGATCGTCGTGTACGAGCCCGTGGACCTCAACCTGCTGATGCCGCACATCGCGGTAAGGTTCATACGGCGGACAGCTCCTCTGATGCATCCGGTAGAAGGAAATATCGAGGAGGGGTACCTTACAGTACCTTACTGCCTCCAATCAGCTAGGCGTCGTGGTTAGAGGCGGCAACTACGGAGCAGCAGGTCCCAGGTTCAACTACCGGTAGGATATGAAGTTTCAATAGAAGCAGTTGTAAGGAAGGAAGTATTCAGAGGGTCTCTTTTCTAAGCAAGAAAGTGAAAAATGAAGATATTGTTTCTTAGAAAATCTACTATTTTTAGTTTTACATTAAATTTTTAACTGGTACCACTACTAAAATTTCTCAAGCTGACTCCGGGATGCGGAAACGTAGATATGTAAGGGCTCGTGTGAACTTGTTCTGACCTACTAAGGTCACGACTTGCACATGTGAGATCACAATAATTAATGAGTTAGGTCAGAAATACGTCATCATAGTAACACGTATTCTTTGAGGCCGAATATCGTTCGGCGCTTGGTGATCGACTCATCAACGTTAACGTTAATATTGCTTACAGATTGTTTCGTCCACATTGCAGCTATGCGTATTCTATATAGCTGTTCCCATGGGGAGAGAGTACGCTCTCTTCTCCAATCACTTTCAAATCACAGTCCAATCACACATTTTCTGGACAAAATAGGCCATTTTACCGCCAAAACTCAACAAAAAACGGGCTTTCTTCAAGAGAATTTGTTTTAATCAATTCAACTACCAACAAGACCTCCGATCAGTGTACGATAATATTAGATAGTGATGTACCCCTCTTAAAATATTGAGTAGGAAAGCGTGGGTGTGTGTCTGACGTCTGACTCATATTCCGCGGCCACCTGATGCGCAGCTCTGGGCGTGCGCCTCGGCCTTCTCTCCTAATCTCTAACAAGTGCCACGAACACTTTAATCTCCATGCTTTTCCCAGGAACCCGCCGCGAAGGAGAACAGCAAGTACTTCTGGACCCTGGGCAGCCGGTCGGGGCCCCTCACCATGAGCATCAAAGTGCCGAGCCAGGGGTACGTCCCCGGCCAAACCATCGAGTTCGAAGTCGAAGTCGACAACAAGAGCACCTTCGTCGTGTACAGAGTAGAGGTTGCACTGTACAAGGTGACGTACCCTTGTAATAAACCTGATCGTCACTCCAGCTCCCCAGCTACTGCTACTCGTGATCGAACAAGGTGTTGACATTATCCTACAGTTTGTAAAATACTACTCCAACACGCGGGTGATCCGTGAACCCACGAAACTTGCGAAAGTGGAGCTCGAACACAGCGAGGTGAAAGGCAACGAATCAAAGGCCTTTAAGCACAGCGTCACCGTGCCAGAGAAGACGCCACCGAGCATCCAGAACAACAAGTCTAAACACCTCAAGTGGAAATACCGCCTGAGAGTAAGATTAAATGTTTATTCGGGCAGGGTCTAGTACCTCTATGAGACCCCGCTTTTACACGGGGACCCGCCTTCTTAACTTCGGAGTTAGAAATGGGGTCTCTTGGAGGTTTTTCAACTATACCGGTTGCACAAAGGTGATTCAGGTCTAAAGCCTCGAAAGCTTCTATGTAATTTTCCTAGAGGTAAATGCATGACATCCGAGGTAAGGTTGCATTTTTTGTAAACACAATTTAGCTGTAAACACGATTAGAGGTATTGTTTCCTTGGAGGTAACGGGGTAACGGGCCGCGCTGGTTAATCCCTTTTTAAAAAAAACAGGGAAGTGGTGCGAGCAAAAGTGTAAAAATCGACCCTACAACTAATTTTTCGCAACATTTTCTCAGGCCGTAGCCGTGGTCGATGTGGGTCACTTCGACCTAGGAGCCTCGGTGCCCATCGTGATTGGAACCATCGCCGTCAGGGATAAATAGGACCAGCGGAAGTCCAATAACTTCAACAACGTTCACCGATAGTTTCATTATCGTTCACAAGTCCATCTACGTTCACAAGTCCATCTACGTTCACAAAGCTCATCAAAATTCATCAACAATTCAACGTTCATCAAACTTTGTCAAAAGCTTATCAAAATCTGTATGAACAAATTCCTAGGAATCCATTAAACGGAAAATAAAAAATGTCAAAACACTACAAAAAAAGTTGCTTACGAAGGGAGTGCATATGCCACTAGCATTCGATTAGTAAATTATTATGGGGTCGCTGAAAGTTACTCTATGTGACAACATGTATGTGTACGTGTATAACAGTTGTTACATTCATAATTCTACATTACCTTTAAAGTGGTGTATGTAACAAATGTTGCATCAACGAAAATCCGTGACATATGTTACATTGCTAGTTATGTTCGGGAAGCATAGCTATATATTTACAAAAAGAATTTTGTTACACAAAGTAACGTATGTAAACACCTGTTACTGGAAGTAGTTTTAATAAAACTAAAAAAATATTACGTAAAGTAATTGGAATATCCGATGTTAAAAACGCACACGAACCTAACAAAGAGCTTTGCATTTTGTTACATAAAGTGATTTTCCGTGGTTCTACGGAGTCTACTGAGTCCCGATCCTTTTCCGACCCCATGATACCCCC